AAGAGATTCAAGATTTTTTCAATCAATGCAACATTGTGACTCATGTTGCATTGTCACACAAATGTGACACATACATTAGTGGTCTTAAATTGGAAATAAACTTCTGAGCTGCTGGACTCTTCGGGACTTTTACAATACGATCTAACATTTTCCAGGATTATTTCGTGTTTATTGTATATGTAAGATAACAGTCAAAGGCTCCTGTTCGTGATTTGTTATTTCTTTATGATGTGAGGCCCGGCATGGGCAGATGGTTAGGTCGCGCGACTCGCAATCTGAGGGTCGCGGGTTCGAATTCCCGTCCCACCAAACATGCTCGCCCTTTCAGCCGTGGGGGCGTTATAAAGTGACGGTCAATCCCACTATTCGTTGGTAAAAGAGTAGCCCAAGAGTTGGCGGTAGGTGGTGATGACTAGCTGCCTTCCCTCTAGTCTTACACTGCTAAATTAGGGACGGCTAGCGCAGATAGCCCTCGTGTAGTTTTGCGCGAAATTCAAACAAACAATCAATAAATTATTGACTAATTAAACTATCAAACGAAAACTCGGGTACTTACCGATAATAATCCTCACTAGGGGAAACTCGTTTTGTAGCCTTTATAGCAGAAACATAAACAGATTCATTGAAGGAAGTAGTGGATAACTGGACGCAATGAGTAATATTAGCGTAAGAGAAGTTGACAATTCCGTTACAATATTCTTCAACGCTATAGCAAGTGTTGTTCCAATACGTCATGTTTCTCTCCTCACACTCATCGTTCTGATCCTTGTTATAACACGCTGAAAATATACAGAAATAAATTAAGTCGTACTGTAACATATCGATGCTAGAAATATAGTACAACGTTTTATTATAAAAATTTAGTTCTGGGCTTAAAATCGCCGATTTCGCTACAATTTGAGGCAGTGATCGTTTCTTACTTTTGTTCAAGATGGCTGCCATGCACTAACAGTATCAGAAATTGACCCACTGGATGAGAAAGTTAAAAAGGGAATATCCAAGACGGCTACTTGGATGAGCTTTGAATAGATAGTTAAAAAAAAACTCTCGACATTTTTAGCTTTTCTGAAGGTACCAAAGGTGCCATGTACATGCGTTCTATTAATGTAGTGGCTCCATCTGTGAAGGAAAGTCTTATATAGTCACGATTTTTTGTGGTTACGTAGGAACAAAGAAGCTAGTCTAGATCCCATAGCAACAGTGGTGTTGGTCATTAATAATATTGTTAAGAAGAAAATAGGATTCTTTGGTGGTTATACTTGTCGTCATCATCATTCATGATAGGTTTTTAGATTTGAATTTTCAATTTGTCAAATTTAAAAGAACCAGGTATGCTCAGAAATGATAGTTTTCCCTTCATCCAGCTCGTGGTTCTGTGATTACTTGCCAGTTTTACTTGGGCGAGAAAAAGAATAAAAACAAAGGAGGCAAATAGAAAGAAATTTAATAAAGCCATGACTGCGTCGTGTAGAGCCAGTTCATCAGTCAGAAAGCCGAAAAAAGTCTAAAATTTAGACTACTAAATTTCTAGGCCCGGCATGGCAATCTGAGGGTCGCGGGTTCGAATCCCCGTCACACCAAACATGCTCGCCTTTTAAGCCGTGGGGGCGTTATAATGTGACGGTGGGTGGTGATGACTAGCTGCCTTCCCTCTAGTATTACACTGCTAAATTAGGGACGGCTAGCGCAGATAGCCCTCGTGTAGCTTTGCGCGAAATTCAAAAAACAAAACAAAATTTCTCCCCTACAACAGGACCTTTGACAAGTGATCCTTCAGAGTGGCTGGGATATTAATATCTAAATGCTATCATGACATTTGGATGTGTGTCGGGGGTGAGGGGTGGAACTGGAAGAACCCTGAGAAAAACCCACTTTCACTCTTCGAGCAACGAACAGTCCACCCAAATAGTGCCCTTTTTGTGTGGTTAAATTGGAATTAAGAGGAACATGTTAGTATACAGAATTCCTGAATTCTCTATTTATTTTGATACAATTAAATGGGGACGTGTATGTTTGACATTATTATAGTGATACTGCTGCTGATGGGAATTGGTTTGCTAGTGAGTTACGTGTGGCAGCTTTGTTGTAGTATTTGGAAGTAAATTTATTGATACGTTATTTTACTTTAGCTCCGTAATTAAGATATGGCTGTGGATCTATATGTTAGTGTTATGGCTATATTAAGGTGCATTTTCAGCTTTTTGTACAGGTTGTCTGACATGTTACAAGCTATTATATTTACATATTCGATAACTGGTCTTATGTGTGCTTTTTTTATCTTGTAATTCTTATGTTTGTTTCACAGCCTTTAAGGTTGCCCCAGATTTTCCTCCAGTTATTATTGTCTTTGGTTGATATTAATACTAATATTAGTGAAATGGTTAGTCCATGTTAATTGTCTATTAAATGTTATACTGAATAATTTGACGGTGTTTGTGACTGTATCATGTAGGAATCATATGTGTTTTCCTGTTAATGTGTTTAATGAATGTTATTCCTTCTACCCTGTTTGAGTTAAGTGCTACACGCCACGTGGCCCACAGGTGGGACAGTGGTAAGTCGACGGACTTACAACGCTAATCTCTGGGGTTCAATTCCCCGCGATAGACACAGCTAATAGCCCAGTGTGGCTTTGCTATAAACATACAAACAAGCCACGTGACGTGATTGAATGAAGTTTGAGCTCTTGACATGCTACATGGGATTACATCATCGACATATTACTAAGCGTTAGTAGATGTCTTTATTAATGAAGACAATATATAACAGTGGACTATAAGAACTAAATCTTTGGGGGACTCCGGTTAGTAGTGAGAAATAGTTAGACACAACATTTTTGACTCTTGCTTTGGCAAAAGAAAACTAGAAATCCAACGTAGGAGGACTTGGGGAATAAATTTTAAGGCTTAATAATTCAGATGGTATACTATGTCGATAAGATGAACAAAATGGTCGGCTGTTTCTATCGTGAAACGTTTCGGATACTTGTAATCATGTTGCAATCATGTAATACTTGTAATCATGTTGTTAGTTTCCATGTAATGTAGCAGTTTTGTGAATTATTTGTTTTTCTAATAACTTGCCAATAAAGCTTAATAAGTTGATAGTTATTTGGGTTATGTAGTCGTGTTTGTTTTTAGGAAGTACTTTAATTACCGGTTTTTTTTTCTCCCCACGACGATGGGTAATAACTAGATTTGATGGATAAAAGCCAGATTTGTTTGTTTGTTCCAAATTAAGCACAAAGATACACAATGGGCCA